AGATTCAAAGATTTTATATTGGACTGTGTAGAAAAATGACTGAACCAAACAAACAGTGTGGAGAGGGAGAAAAGTCAAGGAATGAAGTGGATGACGAATCTATTGGGTCAGACTAGAGTGCAGTCACGCCTCCGCCCTCGACCTTGAAAAGACCACCAGTGAAAGAGCCAGCAAATCGTCTAGAGGGTGGCTTGAAAATTCACAAAATGGTCCATGTTCCTAACAGTAACAATAAGAAGAATGGTGCCCTGAGAAAGTGTCGCGTGAGTGCTAAGCGCAAGGTTAGAAAAGAAACAAGTATCATGTGTGCAGGCTGTGGTGTGGCTCTCTGCAAACTTTCATGTTTCAATGTTTATCACACGAAGAAAAACAAATAAAGAGGTGTGGAAAAGCATTTATTGCATAAAATATTGTATTTTAATTAGTTCCTAAAAATTTCGTTTTTAAAAACCAATTTTTGTTGAAGTTGTTTAGGAAAAAGTAACTACATGCATTTTAGCGACATAAGGTTTAAAGGGCCTGCCAGGACAGGGGTGAGATTTAAATACCCTTCGTGCCAGTCAAAGAGTTAATAAAGGAACATGTACACTATCTGTGATGTTTCCAATATTGTCTTCAACGCTTATATTTCTTTAAGATCCATATTAATATCAATATGCTATTTATATCTAGGCCTCCAAACGTCTCTGCCCTTGATTTTTTCTGACTTAATATTTTGCTTGTACTTCTCATCTCCCATATGTGGGCTACATGTCTGGTCCATCCCATATTACTTCATTTGCTTACCCTAATATTTGGTATTATAAAATAAAAGTATGGTATGACATTCAGCTGATGCAGTACCTCTGATATGTGAATAGTTCCAGTGCTGTCAGATCCATCATTTGATGAAACATCTAAATACAGGTCATGCAGATCTATTTGTTTCAGCACTCGTGTGTGCAAGAGGGACAATACTTGCAACCATAAGCCTCCACAGTGTAATGCCCTGGAAACAAAACTGTTATATGCTGGGACAGTTCACAAAAATAATATGCAAATACATTTACAATACTAATTTGTATGTGCAAACTGTACAGATTATACAAAATAAATGCAGTGTGTAGGGTGTGTCTGACTTTTGAAATTACTAAATGGATGCAAACAAAATTTGTTGCTGGGGAGGTCTCATGGTGGAAGCTGTAAGAGATCTAATTTTTGTCCATGTTACATCTGTACATCAGTATTTCCCAAAGGAGGTAATTTTTAGTCTACCTACATATGGTCTTACAACATGTTAAAACATTTCTGCCTGTGAAAGGGGGGGGGCTCAAGAAGAAAAACCCTTGTCTCTGGTGGAAATGTGAACAGCCAGCTTCTACTGTGTCCTAGTGGTTCTAAAACGTTTCACATATCTGACAGCAAGCACACAAATGCCAAAAATCATAAACAAGAAACAAGTTTCTGGATCCTTCTGTATGTAAGTAAGAATTACTTCATCCATTAGAAATTTAAGAGACACAATTCAATAGTCAGGTGACCAGTGTTCCACGTAAGCCACGACAGTGACTGGCTGGATGACCTAGGGGTCAGAGTTTGAGTCTCAGTAGGGTCAAGAATTTTCACTTCTCCATGTCTTCCAGACTGGGTCTGGGGTCCAAACAACCTCCTGTCCAATGGGTTTTGAGGTCTCTTTCCCCAGGAGGTAAAGAGGCCAGGACGTGAAGCAGACCACTTACCTCCAACTAGTGCCAAGGTCAAGAAAAATGTGGATCTATACAGCCACTCCCCCATACACCTTCATGGTGCTTAATTAGTTAAAAACAGGGACAACCTTACCTTACCTTACCAGTGTTTCAGTTTTGGTTTTACTGTCATGGGCCTGAAACGCACGCAGCCACATAAGAAAGACACATCATAAGACACAGTATATACACAATTAAAACATAAGAAGAACGACTCCCATAGCAGATGAATGGCATTACACAAGAGTTTGATATGCGACATGTAAGATGATTGATCTTGGCAAGTTTTAATATATAAATTTTAAAATTTTATTATTGAATGACGACAAACTACATTTAATCTTCCAGTGTTCTCATCATAACTGCAATTGAAGACTGATACAATGGTCTCTACATGGGTTATTAAATATAAAAATAGCTATGATAAGACAATGTCATTTGGGGTTAAACATTACTCTTCTGTGCCACAGCAGATCTATCTGACACTCACAACAATGCGAAGTTGTAATGAATTAACTCCTCTGAAGCTTCAAATAATTCCAATATTTGTAAGCAGTAAAGAATTACCATTCTGCAATGCTGACAGGTATATTAAGCTAGATGGAAAGGATGCTGAAAGGTCAAAACAAGTACTGCATTCCTCCCATCAACAATCTTTATTTTTCAGCAAATAAAATAAGTCTTAAAACAAAAAAACAAAAAACAAGAGAGACTTGTAAACATACCTTTTCGCAGCGATATGAGTGATGTATTTCATTTCCTTCTCATCAAAAGTAAGCATCAGGAGTTTAAATCGTTCGTTTAAAATATCATACTTTGAAAATATCTTGTAGTAATACACGGACTGAAAAAAGGAAAAGGATAAAAAAGTGACATTTTAAGTAAACTTAGAAAATTCTTCACTTATTTCATACTTTATATTGCATTATCTGGAATTCCAAGAAGTAGATTTCTCTTTTAAAAGCTGAGTGTCATTCAGCTGTCAAGAAACAGTCTGGCTATACTGAACCCAACGGTTCATTGCTTATTACCATCTTCACAAGCGCCTGCCACTGGACCCTACCTTGAGAGTTTAACCTGCCAACATTGTCACACCTCATTTATTTAAGTTTCAAACATTCGCTGAAGTGTACAAATTAAAAAGCTCCTCATTATGTAATTTTCTTTATACTCCTTACAATTTTCCTTTTCTCAAACACTTTTTTTCTATTTTCACCCTTACGGTACTTCTTAATTATTATCAAGAACAGATATGGCACATTTTATGGATCTGCATCTTTCAATATTTCCCACCTAGATGACATGTTAGTGGAAAAGTACTGACATGCAAAGGTACTTGTTTCTTAAGAAAAGGCTTGGTGGTATATGTGTAAAAGTGACAAAGGAATTACTTGCAGGCATTAATTCCAGTCTGGATGCATATAATTCAGATATGGTATCAGGGGCACACAGTAGCATAGTTGGTTGAGGGGCTATGCTACAAGCTGTAAGGTCACAGGTTCAAGTCCCGATGAGGTTATTGGAATATTTTCAATTGACCTAATCCTTCCAGCCGCATTATGGCCCTGGCGTTCTCTCAGCCTCTAACAGAAACGAGTACCAAGAATTAATTAAATAAGTTTCCTGGGGAGTAAGGTGCAGCCAACGTGAAAGGCTGACAACCTTACCACCATCTTTGAGCCAATTGTCTAGATAATGTGGGAGCCTCAACGTCTCACAACCCTATAGGCCTTCACAACCTGGTACACGGATAGCTTTACTTACTTTTACTTTTCTTTTACTACATAAATCAAGGAGTCACAAGTAACAGCAATAGCTATGAGACTGTTTTAGTTATGAGCAAACAACA